TCATCATCATCATCAGGAGCAGCAGCAGAACCATCATCTCCAATCGTCATCATCATGATCACCAACACCACCATCATCATCATCACCATCCTCCTCATTATCATCATCATTATCCACCAGCACCAGCAACATCAGCATCAACTTCGGCATCAAGATCATCGACCTTATCTCTTCATCATCATCATCATCATCATCATCATCAGCAGCAGCAGCATCAGCAACATCATCATCTCCACCATAATCATAATCTGGATCAGCATCATCATTATCAGCTTCCTCCTCCTCATCATCAGCATCAGCATCATCGTCATCATCATGTTCAGCAGCATCACCATCACAATCATCATCATCATCATCATAATCGTCATCATCAGCGTCATCATCATCAGCATCATCATCGTCATCATCATCATCGTCGTCGTCACCATTTCATCATCATCAAAATAATCATCATCATCATCAGCGTCAGTATCATAGTCGTCACCAACACTGTCGTCATCATAATCATCAGCATCCTAATTGTCGCCGTCGTCGCTGTCACCATCATCATTAGGAGCAGCGGCCGAAACATCATCATCATCATCAGCAGCAGCAGTATCATCATCGTCAGCATTATCATCAGCATCAGAATCATCATCATCATCGTCATAATCATCATCATCAACCATCAATGATCATCATCATCATCATCATCTGCATCATCATCATCATCATCATCATCATCATCGGCATCAGCATCAGCAGCCGCAGCGTCCTTGACGGTTTCACGATCACAATCGTATCATGGAAACCACCACCGTTCTCCTCCCACGTCTAAGGTCGTCGTCGTCATTATCGTCGTCATCGTCATCGTCTGTCATCAGTATCGTCCTCGTCGTCACCAACATCAGCATCATCATCAACACCATAATCAGCATTGGCATCATCATCATCAGCAGCAGCACCGTCATCATCATCAGCATTACCATCATCATCATGATAGGCACTATCATCATCATAACCATCACCACCACCATCGTCATCATCATCATCATCACCAGCATCATCATCATCATCATCATCATCATCATTATCATCATGATCGTTATCCTCTTTACCGTCAGCATCATTCTGATAAACACCACAATCATCATCAATATCAGCATCAGCATCAGCATCATAATCATCATCATCATAGTCGTCAGTATCATCATCGTCGTCGCCGTCGTTGTCGTCACCATCATCATCATCAGCATCATCATGATCGTCATCATCCTCTTGATCGTCATCATCATCACAACCACCATCATCAGCACCACCATCATCATTATCATCATCACCACAACGCAGCATGCCCATCAACTTATTCCGCCCCTTCCTGCCAAGAAGCGCCCGGCGAGCCTCCGGAGAACCGCGGCGTCGAACTCCCAGTCGAGCCTCTCTGGAGGCGAGTCCTGTGCTCCAACGGCGCAGCAGGAAAGCGAGGAGAGAGGCGGCGAGTCGTGGAGGGAGATAAGCAACCGCATGAACCCTTGCCTGCAGCTCGCAGTTCTGAAGAACCGGCTGGGGTTCAGAATACAAAGAAAGTGCGCATCCAAAGAAAACCCTGGTGGGGGGGTATCCGATGCCCCAGCGGCGAGTGGACCCGTAGGGGTAAAGTTCGCAAAGGAAGCAAGAAGGGGGAGCGAGGCACCCGTGCGAGCGGAAAACCGACTCGGGTGAGTCAGCCCGAAGGCGTTTCGAAATGAACCCAAAGCTGATCCCTGAGACAGCTGAAATGCACAGAAAAAGAGAAAGCGCCCATCCTGCAGGCTCGATTAACACCACGTGCTGTGGCCTCCCCTGAGAGCAGGCCCCCCCGGAGCAGCAGCCAGAACGCGGGTTTGCACCATCATACCTTTGTGAACTCCGGGCGCGGCTTGGCATTGACATTCCCGACGCCACCACCCCATTGTCAGGGCCAACGACTTTGAGGGCGAAGAGGACGACAAGATTGACGGACGAGGAATGAAGAGCGGAAGGAAGGGCGAAGACGATGAAGAAAACACCAACAGTACATTCAAGTGCTCTCACAGACAGGTGCGCTGCAAACCATGGCCTGTTCGTCACCCTTAATATTCACTCGGTATGCGCGTCTTTTAAGCATGAAGCTGGGTACCCCCGATCGCAGTGCGGAACCACGTCAATGGCATTGCCAATTAGCCACCACATGATCGCATTGGCCTCTTCACGAGAAGCGAAATGGCATCAGGCAACTGTCGAGCCAGGATGCTGTGCGATTCGTTCGGATGGCAAGTAGAAGGATCGGATGAAGTGGGGAACGGAGGAAGTGCTTCTAAGGTATGCAAGGAAACGCGGACGCGGACGTGACACAGAGCAGGAAGCAAGGAGCAGGGCGCAGAGGGGAGGGGAGGTGAGGTGAGGGGAGGGGATGGGGGTGAGCGGGGATGGGAGGTCGTCGGCGTCGGCTCGTCGTCCTCGCCCTCCTCGGCCTGCTCCGCCTCCGGATCCTCCTCCTCTTCCTCACCAGAGGGCGAAGCAGGGGGTACAAGCGGCAGCCGAGGCGGCGCTGGAGGACAAGGGCAGGAGCGTCCAGAGAAAGACCCAAGGCACCTGCGCGAAAAAGGCTTCGCGGCAGCACCCTGGCGCAAGGGAACACTCCCTCAAGCGACAACGGGGGCCTCGCCATCTCAAGCATCCATGGCGGGGGCCCGGAGTTCTTTTGCATCGCGTCTAACGTCGGGGAGTGCAGTTGGCTTTCGGACAGCGCGGACTGGTTCGGCGATGCACATGCGTTTCGACACCGGGCGGAAGGGGGGGGAGGGGGGGTCTAGCTCCTGACCTCTGCTTAGTGCGACTGTTTGGGACCGTGCGTCCTATGGGGGAGACTCCACCTGCTCGAAAGAGACGCCAAAAACGGCAAAGATTTACTCCACATGGGCGGGGGGAGGGCGAGGGCCCGCGCCGATCGGCCAAAGAATTCATAAAAAAAAGCCTACCTCCAGTTGTGGAGGCCGCCTAGGAGTGCGGCGCGAGGTCCGAGGGGCGCCCCACGGACCGCATCGGCGGCCTCCCCGGGTTCCCAGAGGCCCACCGCTGGAAGCTGGCCCTGGCGCTGGGCAGGGCCGCCAAGGCGGCCTGGGCCGACGGGAAGGAGAATTCGGAGGTGCTGGGCATGGTCGAAGGGCTGCTGAAGGACGCGTTCGAAGACGGGACGCACAGAGCAGCAGTGCAGGCGGCGGTGCGCGAGGCCCTCAACAGGGCGTTTGGCTGAGGGCGCGGCGCGGCGCAGTGTCTGCTATCGGGCCCTCGTTGGCTGGGGACTTCAGCGTCGCCGCGGCTGGACTCGGGCTGGAAAGCTGGCGGCGCTGCCCCGAGGCCGGGACGGGCTGAGGGGGCGAGAACTGGAGCCCTGGGCGGCCCGCCGGCCCGAGGCCTGGCCCCATGGCACGCTCGGCCCCGCGGAGCGGAGGCCCGCCCTGTCAGGCGCAGACTGGCATCGGACCCTGCCTCCGTGCCTTCAGCCTTCAGCGCCCTCCTCCTTCTCATCCTCCTACTCCTCCTCCTCCTTTTCCTCCCACGGCGTGCGCGTGTATCGCCACGTCTGTCCGAAATATGTTCATGCCGGATTTATGAGGTCACACTAATGGCGGTTTGTTCTGGACGTGGGATAGAGTCAAGCGCTAATTCCCAGGCAGTCACACAGCTACGAATGGAACCGACGAGGGTCCGAAACCGAATCGCAGCGAGGGCCATCGCAGACACGAGCGCCGGGGGGACAGACCGAAAAGAACCGAGGCCCGGAAACCACGCAGGGACACTGAACATGAACACGATGCAGGCCCACAACGCATGGCAATGCCAAATACCATGTCGTATCTACATAAAGGCAAAGCCAAAAACATCCGTAACGGGATGGAAACACAAGATCCAGTAAACGCCACTCAGGAGTCCCAATGAGCCTTCCGACGACATTGGCAGTACTTAATAGCCCGCCTCGCGCTGGTGAGACCTCAAAGCATAGCTCACTCTCGGCAAGGAGGGGCGCGCTCGCAGACAGAAAGACACAGCAGGTTCAGATTCAAGACGTGGGGCCGATCAAGACGTTCAAGACTATCACGACGAAGCACAAGGTTGGGACAGCACTTCCCGCACTCGCACCGCACAGAGGCGCCTCCAGACCTCAGGACGCGGCTGCTCAGAACCTCCTAGCATCAAGCAAAACACGACGACGCACAGAAGGTTGAGGACGCACTAAAAACTTGCACTCCACAAAAAAGGCGCCTCCAGGACACAGGGTGCGGCTGCCCCAGAACAAGGCCATGATCGCCCATGCTATTATCGCAATCTAGATCATCAGGGACTGCTGCATTCAGCTGGTGCGCCGCGGCGGTACCACGGGCGTCGACGGCCCCGGCAGGTCCCTCGAGACCCTTCCGGACACCAGGAAGGGAAACTGAGCTTACAAGGTCGTCTGGTTTTCCGCCCGTGGCTACTTCATCGAGCCCGCCATCTGGAACAAATACAGAGGCATCTGGATTGAATCACGATGGGGCCGCTCGACCAAGACGCGGTCCACACTGCGTACACCGCAATTGTTCAGCGGATGCCGAGGAAAACCGGAAACCAGAGCCTCCTCGCGCAGGAATGGCTTCGTTCCGCCTTAATCAGCACGTCCAAGTGTTTTGGGGCCTGCTCGGCTAGAAAGGCGGACAAGGCTGGGATAATCGCAAGAACCCTGCCCCAGAGCTCGCCGTTGCCGAAGAACTCCGAGAGGGACAACGGCATCTCGTTGAGCTAGGAACAGGAGCGCTGCAGCTCGTCCGATTGTTTCCTGATCGCCCTGTCCGAATCCTCCTTGGCCCACTCCCGCCGTGCTCGACGTTCAAGTACGGAGGGGCATTTGGCATGCATCACCCATGCCATCCCGTAGGACTACCTTCTCAAACCTTACTGCAGAAAAGTTAGCCTGACGAAGGGCCCAACCATATGCAGCTGCGAGTACCTGGGACGCACATGGACGCACCCCCTGGGGCCTTCGGTGGAACTCCCTATGGGGCCAGGAACAATTGGGTAGCGGGGACAGATGTGGCAACAACCCCTGGGGCCTTCGGTGGAGTTCCCTATGTCGCCGCGGACAGTGTGAGGGATGTGCCGAAATGGGCGGCGGGGACGCATGTAAACTGTGACTCTGGGACCTTCGGCGAACCGTGTGAAGGGTGTGCCGACATGGGTGGCGGGGACGCATGTAAGCTGTGCCACTGGGGCAGTCGTTGGAGCTCCCTATGGGGCCACGAACCGTGTCAGGGGGGTGCCGAAATTGGTGGCGGGGACGCAAGTAAACTGTGACACTGGCGCCTTCGGTGGACTGTACTTCTGTGGCCTTCGGTGGAGCTCCCTGCCACGAATCATGTAAAAGGTGTGCCGAAGTGGGTGGCCGGATGCATGTAAACTGCGCCACCGGGGCCTGCGGTGGAGCTCCCCATGGGGCCACGAAACGCGTGAGGGCTGTGCCGCAATTGGGTGGCGGGGACAGATGTGGCAACAATCCCTGGGGCCTTCGGTGGAGCTCCCTATGTCGCCGCGAACAGTGTGAGGGATGTGCCGAAATGGGTAGCGGGGACGCATGTAAACTGTGACTCTGGGACCTTCGGTGGAGCTTCTTATGGTCCACGAACCGTGTGCAGGGTGTGCCGACATGGGTGGCGGGGACGCATATAAGCTGTGCCACTGGGGCATGCGTTGGAGCTCCCTATGGGGCCATAAACCGTGTCAGGGGGGTGCCGAAATTGGTGGCGGGGACGCAAATAAGCTGTGACACTGGGACCTTCTGTGGAGCTTCGTATGGTCCACGAACCGTGTGAGGGGTGTGCCGACATGGGTGGCGGGGACGCATATAAGCTGTGCCCCTGGGGCATGCGTTGGAGCTCCCTCTGGGGCCACGAACCGTGTCAGGGGGGTGCCGAAATTGGCGGCGGGGACGCAAGTAAACTGTGACACTGGCGCCTTCGGTGGAGCTCCTTATGGGGCCAGGAAACGTGCAAGGGGTGTGCTGAAATTGGTGGCGGGGACGCATGTGAACTGTGCCCCTGGGGCCTTCGGTGGAGCTCCCTACGAGGCCACGAACCGTGTGAAGGGGGGGGGGGGCCGAAATGGGTGGCGGGGACCAATGTCAATTGTGTCCCTGGTGCCTTCGGTGGACCTCCCTATGGGGCCACGAACCGTGTCAGGGGGGGAGCGAAATTAGTGGCGGGAACGCATGAAAACTGTGCCACTGGGGCCTGCGGTGTAGCTCCCTATGGGGCCACGAACCGTATGAGGGGTGTGCCGTCATGGGTGGCGGGGACGCATGTAAACTTTACCACTGTGGCCTTCGGTGGAACTCCCTATAGGGCCACGAAACGCCTGAAAGGTATGCCGTAATGGGTGGCGGGGACGCATGTGAACTGTGCCCCTGGGGCCTTCGGTGGAACTCCCTATGGGGCCACAAACCGCTTGAGGGGTGTAACGAAAGTGGTGGCGGGGACCCATGTAGCTGTGCTCCTGGGGCATTCGGTGGAGCTCCCGATGGGGCCGCGAACCATGTGAGGGGTGTGCCGACCTGTGCGGCGGGGACGCATGTAAACTGCGCCACTGTGGCCTTCGGTGGAGCTTCCTATGAGGCCACGAACGGTACGAAGGGTGTGCCGCAATGGGTGGCGGGGACGCATGTGAACTGTGCCACTGGGGCCTTCGGTGGAGCTCCCCATGGAGCCACGAAGCGTGTCAGGGGGGTGCCGAAATTGGTGGCGGGACGCATGGGCTGATGATGGTGATGATGAGGATGTTGATGTTGATGTTGATACTGATATGATGCTGATGCTGATGCTGATGCTGATGCTGATGCTGATGATGATGATGATGATGATGATGATGATGATGATGATGGTGATGGTGATGGTGATGGTGATGGTGATGGTGATGGTGATGGTGATGGTGATGGTGATAATGATGATGAGGAGGAGCAGGAAGAGGAGGGCGGATGGATGCAGGAGCGGGAGGAGGATGAGGAGGAGGAGGAAGAAGGAAGGAAGGAAGGAAAGAACGAGGGCGCTGTCTCTTCAAAACGAGGACCCAACACCACAGGATGGTAGGGAAAGAACTCTAGCCACACAATGGTCCCGAAAAAAAACGTCCGCTGGTGGGCGGCTTGCCGGACATGGTCACGTACCCGGATGGCGCGCATAGGAAGACTTTCTGGGAGCGAGGAAGAGGGAGAGAGGGAAGAGGGAGGAGAGAGGAGGACGAGGTGGAGGTGGAGGAGGAGGACGACGGGGAGGAGGAGGACGAGGAGGTGAAAGAAGAGGAGGAGGAGAAATACGGGGAAACCGTATTTCAGGCAGAGGGGAGGCAGGAGGGGGAGGCAGAGGGGCAAAAGGCTCGGAAGGCCTGCAACCTTCTGAGAAGCTGTCGAGTCGCCTGCGGGCGCGCGGGGCGGTCCGCGGAATCCAGCTCCGCCACAGCGTGCCATTCGGGGTCCGCCTCGGCAGCGGACGCGGGCGGCCAGAGAGCGATGTCGGTGCGGGGCGGGGCGGGGGGATGACACGGGAGGAGCAGCAGCAGGAGCACGAGCAAAGGCAGGAGCAAAACAGAAAGGATAACGAAGAAGAGGAAGAGGAGGAGGTTGAAGAGAAAAGGGAACAGGAAAAGAACGGAGAGGAGAGGCGGAGGGGGCGCAAGGGGAGGAGGGAGAGTGAGAGGACGAGAAAAACGTGGACGAGGAAGGCGAGGACCAGGAGTAGAGGAGGACGGAGCAGGAGAAGCAGCGGCTGAACGAGTGGGAGGACAGGGGAAACGAGCCAAACTCATGCGTCGGAGCAGCGCTGGTGTGAAATACACCTTCGCACGCAGCTCGACCGGATCAGCGCCCTTCCTTCCTACTCATCCCGACCCATTGCCAATTTCACTCTGCACTACCCTGCCGATGACGCATCTGAGGCCAATATGAAGAAAGAGCACGCCCCCGCTCCATTTCCTCGTCCCGACCCATCGCCAGATATCCACGCCCCCAGTCCCGCAGCACGGCCATACACGACCCGCGTCTCAGTCGCTGCAGTCGCGCAACCCTGCGCCAACAATTCATTGCCAGCTGCGGCGGAATGGGACTCGCGCTCCACGCCGGCCGGCCTGCCGCCGAGGGACGAGCCTGCGAGCAGCACACTGGTCGCGGAGGCACGCGGCGGCATGCGGGGCGATGTGCTCCGGAGCTCGATGCGCATCACTACTACAGCGCGCGCGCTCGTTTGCGATGGCAGCGACCGCGGCTTCACCTGGACAGGCTGCTGCCTGACCATATCGCTGGGCATGCGGACAACGAGAAAGAGATGTCGATGCACTGCTGGCGCTGCTGCTGCTGCTGCTGCTGCGGCCGCCCCCCCGCGCCTTCATGGAGGGCCGGCGCGGCGGCGGATCCGCGACCTGCAGCAGGGCGGCCAAGAGCGAGCGCACCCCCGCGCCGACGGCCGCCGCCCAAGCTGCAGACAGACATCGGGAGAGCCCGCTGCAGGTGCACGCACGCCCCCTGGGACCACGTGCAAGACAACTGGCGCGCATCAAACGCGGGCAGGCCAGCGGCGCGCAAAGCGAGCAACTCCGCGAAATAGGCCGCCTGGCGAGACAAGAACGCACTGCCGCAAAGACCGCGGGACTCCCCGCCAGTCCGAATCGACGTTCGCGCGGGCGCACTCTGCGCACGCCAGTGCGGGTCCCACCGCCTTCAACGACTCGACGCGGCACTGGCGGAGCTACTCTGGAAGGACCGTTGCCGGGGCAGGCGCCCGCGCCTTCGTCTCGGCGCGCATGACGAAACGGCCGCGCTCCCCGATGGCGCGCTCCCACGCTCGGAAGCCCGCCAACGCTGCGGCTGGCTCGCCAACGGAGTAGGCGTCGTCAAGGAAGGCGACGCAGTCGCTCTGCGCGTCGCACGAGCGGACGGTTGCGCGGCCGACCGCCAAGTCATCGACAGCGGCCACGGCGCACATGCCCGGGCTCATGAGGCAGCCCTGGCCCAAGCCGGCGCCCTGCCCAACCAGCTGGGCCGGCTCCGCACCGCCGCCGGTCACGCGGCGCGCGGCGTCCCGGATCCAGCCCTCCGCCACGGGAACCAACTCCGGGAGTTCCTGGCGCGCCTTGTTGCGAGTACGCATCCGCGGGAGGGCGCAGAGCGCGCCCTCGACGTCCGAGGCGATCCCGATGACGTTGCGGCGGGCGGCGGCCAACGCGCGCAAGCGTCGGGGCAGTGCCCGACATTCGCCCTTCGCCGAGCCGAACTGTTGGACCCCCGCGGCCTCGCGCAGGCGGCCGCCGTAGACCATGGCCACGCTGCGGCGTGCCATGCGGCGCGCGGCATTGCCACGTCCGAGGACTCCGATATCGGCGCCGGCGGCCTTCGGGACGCCTGCCAGCCGAGCAGCCAGCAGCGCCGCCCGGGCCGCAGGGGGGAGATCGCCAGACGCGAGCTGCGCCAACGTGGCAGCCACGATGCGCCAGCCCTCGTCGTCGCCCTTCAAGCTGGCACAGCGTTCGCATCGGCCCCCGCCAGGCCCAGCCCCGCCCCACCGCGGGAAGTGGCCGAACTGACCCGCCAGACGCTTACCGACGTGCCCCCGCAGCTCGCGCGCACTCACCTCCAGGGCCGCCTCAACGTCGGGGGCCCGGGAGGCCCGCGGGCCCGCGGCGGCCTCAGCCGCATGAGCTATCCTCTGTGAGGCGGCGGCCTGGGCGGAGCGGAATTTGCGGATGACCGCCGCCGCATCCGCCCGGGCACCTTGCGGCCACGCGGCCGCCACTGCGCGAGAGAGCTCGACGGCGCGGACACGCTCCGCGACGCGGCGGACACGGGCCGCCGTCTTGTCCTCGGCGGCCCGCGCGCCGCGACCCGAGGCGACGCGGCAAGTCGCCCCCGCGCCCAACTGGGCCGCGCCCCGCTGCCCCATCTCGACCCAGCGAATGCGCTCGACCAGGCGCCCGTGACGAGCCGCCCCCTTGGGGGCGGCCGTCTCCTCGGGGGCGCCCAGCGCCACGAACGCCTCCCAGAGGTGCTCCAAGTCCCGGGCCATCCGGCGACGGACCGCGCCCTCGATGCACAAGCAAACGCGCGCCTTGCGCTCGCTCGTGGCAACTCCCATGCTGTTGGGAACGATCGCCGCGGTCAGCGCAGACGCCAGCAGGATGCGGTCCCAGGACACGGTGCCCCACCTCTCCAGGTGGCGGAACTCGGCAAATTCGAACACGTCCTTGGGGCCCTGGCCCTCGTCCGCACACTCGTCGCCCAAATCTTCGCCCTCCGGGGGGGCTGCGACATCGGGGCCAGGGGCGCCCGTCGGGCGGGCCAGGATGACCTCGCGCGAAGCAGGCCCTGCGTCTTTCAAAATGGTTTCTCCGGCCCCCAGCACGTAGATGGGGACCTGCGCAGGCGGGTGCATGGGAGGGGCCGCCGCCTGAGGGGGCTGCGCGGCCGCCCCGCCCACCGGCATGCTTTCGGCGGCGGGCGCCGGCGCAGCTCCGGAAGCGCCTGCGGCGTTGGCGCGACGGCGAACGGATGCCCTCCGCCGCGAGGCGAGGCGGGGCGCTGTCCACCGAAACAAGGAGATCTACAGGGAGCCCTCGCTCCGCACGGTCGGCCAGCTGCGTCCGCAGCTGGCCCTGCTAGTGGGCGGTTAAGGCCGCGAAGCCCATCGGCGCTTCGGCGGCGGGCAGGCGGGCGCCCACGCACCCCAAGCGCGCCCTCTTGAAGCTGGCGTGGCCGGCGCCCTCGCCCGCCCCTGCCCCTTCCCACCCCAGGCGGAACTCGCCCAGACAGAAGGCCTAGACACAATTGTGGCACCGCGCAAAGCGGCCGTTGCCTCCGCGGCGCGGCTGCGCCGCGACCTGCCACCACTTGATCTGGGCGACGGTGATGCGGCGGCCCGACCGCGGCGGCCGCTGCATCCGAGGGCTCGCGGCCCTGCCCGAAAGCGTAGGCTCTCCTTCTGGTGGCCGCGCACTCCCCGGCGACCCTCCTTCCTGGCCTGGTTCTCGCCCCCGCCGCTTTCCCCGCGCGCCCGATCCAGCGACCGCGCCTGCAACCGCCATTTCTGCGCCCCGCAGTCGGCGAGCGCCCGTCAGACTCGAATATCAGGGGCGTTTAGTAAGCGAAGGCGAAGAAGAGCTGAGCAGGAAAACAAGAGAACGCACGCTGCGTGCTGGCGGCTTGAGCCACTTTAAAGACGGCTACTACGACTACGACTATGATTATTACTACTACTACTACTACTACTACTACTACTACTACTACTACTACTACTACTACCACTACTACTACTACTACTACTACTACTACTACCACCACCACCACTACCACTACGACTATAATTACTACTACTACTACTACTACTACTACTACTACTACTACTACTACTACTACCTACTACCTACTACCTACTACCTACTACCACTACTACTACTACTACTACTACTACTACGACTACTACTACTACTACTACTACTACTACTACTACTACTACTACTACTACTACAACTACTACTACTACTACTACTACTGCTACTACTACTACTACTACTACTACTACTACGACTACAAATATTAGTACTACTACTTCTACGACTTCTACTACTACTACCACTACGACTACTACTACTACTACTACTACTACTACTACTACTACGGCTACTACTATTAAAAATCATATGATACCGCAGGGGAAAAAACAATCCTAATATTGTCAGGGTTGTAGGGCTATGGGGTTATACGGTTATAGGACCACAGGGATAGGGCTATAGGACAAAAGGGCTAGTAGGGCTATAGGAACATGGAGCTATAGGGCTACAGGGCAATAAAGCTACAGGGCTATAGGCCTATACGGGCTATAGGGATATTGGGTTATGGGCGATTGGGCTATAGGGCACAAGGACGATAGGGCTATAGTGCTACAGGGCGATTAGGGCTATAGGGCTATAGGCATAGGTCTATAGGTATATGGGGATATAGGGCTATGCCATGTAGATCCATCTATGCTTATTTAGTGCAGCTGCTTATTTTAATAGTCGGCCTTAAAAATGTCACCCTTAAAATCGAGCGTCGACGCTAAATTTTAGCGACGATCAGCGTCGACGCATGCTCCAACACGGCACGACATTCGAAAAAGGAGGTGCGACCTCGTGAAGAGGGCGCGTGCGCCCTGGTGGAGCAGGGGGCGCCGCTCCTCCGCAGCGCCGTGGCGCGTGCACTTTTTCTGCCCGCGCGCGCGGCAGTCGCGCGAGCCGCGCCATCGGCTGCACGCGGCGGCGCGCGATCACCGCTCGGGAGAAGCCCGTCGCTGAGAGCGGGGAGCCGCGCCTCTTCGCCACGTGGCCCACGCTGCCCCCGAAGTCATCGCCCCTGTAGGTCCAGCACAGCGACGGCTGCCATCCCGCGAAGGCCATCTCGAGGAGCAGGTGCGCCATCGGCTTGACGCGCCAATTCCTCGGCTGCAGCGCAGCAA